GCTCGCGCTGGTCCTATTCTATATGCCTTACTTATTCTCGCCTAATAATGGCTTTGAAACTTACCTAGCGATGCCGATCATCACGAATGAAATGTAAACAACTACTCAATCTAAAAGCTTTTTCATGTGAGATCGGTGACTTTGAGGGAAAAAAGTATCTTCCAAAAGATTAAACGCGATTTTGAATCAGTTACTGGGGTTATAATGGCTTGATAGTCGCCATAAAGATGATGACAACCGTGAGTTGCATTTCTGCGCAAAAGTTTTCTCAAACTCCCAGGTAAAACCTTGACTCGATCATCTACGCATTTAATCCTTTTTAGCGCCAATCTTGGGTGAAGTAACCTTTTTGCTCACTTTTAGGGGCTAGAGTCCATGGTTTGCGGATTTACTTGCTAAACAAAACCATGACTTTGGAGAAAGACAAATTGCAGGCCCACTTTGGTGAGCGAAATTTCGCGTGGATCCGTTTGGCGCACAATTTCACAGGTTCCAATTATCGAATCGGCTTGTGATTTTGCAAATTTTACCTAAATGCTGATAGGCTGCTACTACCAAAATTCTAGCTCAAGCTCTTTGCTGGAACTCGCTCTACGAATTTCGTGACAGACAGAGATTCACACACACAGACAGACAAACGTAAACAGCCCTTAGCCCGTTATCATAAGTTATGATCACTAGCTGGCTTACCCGGCTCCGCCCGGCCCTGTCATTGCTATAATTAAGGTCTTATCCCTATCTTTGTAAATCTTTCATTGTGCCCACTTCTACATGCAATTCCCTATTCCCGCTGTGTTAGTAATCAGCATGCCCACCTACCTCCCTCAACAACCCCAGCCCCGTAGCTCAAACTTTGCAAAAAAAACCCAATAAAATCGGTAAAAGTAAGGATAATTTCTGGAAACTGATGGCGCTATTCGGCTCCGGCCCCAAAATGTTTTTGTGATGGATCTTAGTCAAAGTCGGTACATGGGGATTATTAAAGCCGCTGATGACGAATATCGTAGTCATTTCGCGCGATAGCGCCATTTTCGGGTTTACTTATGTACACATAAGAAGCTAAAATCATGGATTTTGTTGAAACTTCGAGGGGGGGGGGGCTAATTGACATGCTGATTACGAATATCATACTCCTTTTGAGGCGATTTCACTGAGTTATGGTAGGTATACTGCAGAGGGGAAGATCTCAGTTTTGGCTCAAAGGATCGGCAAATTCCAACAACTCGGGATTCATACGCGGTAGGTTCCTTATCGCCCAACTATGAAAACAATGCGATCCCGGTTGCACAGCATGCTTCCCCTGCCGAGAAAATCGCTCTCGAACTTACACGCGCAGGCCAATCTTACACGCATCTGGACGACTTGGCAATTTCCTTCTCACCATTGGAGGCTGCCAGCCGCAACGCTATAATCATTGGGTCCTGTCACGATTTAGCGTCATCGGCCTTGCTCTACTCGTCCAATATCAAAGGGAAGGGCATTAAAAACGCTCATTTTCGCCGTTTTCAAGCTTACAAAGTGGATTTTCGGGATCAGCGTATTGAAAAACCCCAGGTAAGCGCAAATTTGACTAGGCTGAGTGCAGAGCCGCTGCTTTTAAACTCGGTCTAGAGAGATTCGACCTTTTGACCATGTTCAAAACACTCACGTTGCGTCTTGAAACCTTTGCGCAGAGTTACGGTAGGTACATGGCAGCGGGTAAAAATCATGAACCTGCCTGAGACCTTGGCAGAAAATTACCTAAAGTTCTGTTCCAAGAATATCGTGCTCAATCCCCAAGATAAAGGCAATTCGTGTGGTATATATGTTTTCCGCGACCGTAATGCTTTCCCTTATAGGACCACTGTCGCGCGCGATGCACCCTTCGGCGGCTTTTGCCTAAGCAAAAACAGGGGAGGGAGGTCTGCCGCGTGCGTTACGCGTCGGGACAGGTTATCAGTTTCCTTATAGGACCACTGCTGCGCGCGATACACCCTTCGGCGGCTTTTGCCTAAGCAAAAACAGGGGAGGGAGATTTGCCGCGTGCGTTACGCGTTGGGACAGGTTATCAGGATGGCGCTGGAGGATGCCATGCAAAACGACCGTTTCCTCATTTCGTGAATATCTGGGATCTAAATTGGCCCGAAAGCGAAAAAATGGCCATTCAAACCCTGCAGCTCACCATAACTTCACTAATGGGTTATGACAGCGAGCAAGCATCATATTCATAAGCGATATACTTGTGAACCGTTGCAGGTAAAGTTGTGAGCAAATCTGGAACTTCGACATATCTACACCCACCGTAACCCAAGAAAATGCACTATCCTGCGAAATAAGCATGATATTCATGTTCAGCGCGCTAAATGACCACCCTAGACGAAGATTAAAGCAAATCTATGTTTTCGACCCCATGCCATATAACCACCACAACTCTATGAAAAGGTCCCAATATGCAGAGAGAGATGATATTCGTAATTAGTATGTCGAATAAGCCATATGGACTCCAGCGGAACTCATGATTTTGACTTCCTACCGTACACCTATCGTAACCACACGGGAAGACGAGTTATGGACACTTGGAATATTGGCCAAATCGCGTCGCGAGTGAAATCGCTTGAAGTATGCCCGGCCCTTAAGATAACCCTTACAAACGAAATTTGAGCAAGCTCTACGACAAAAAATTTTGGGTTCCAGAGAGCCGAATAGCGCTAATCTAATATCGAACTCGTAATCAGCATGCTCGATTACCCCCCCCCCCCCCCGTGTGCCAACTCCCAGCCCCGTAGGTGATCTCTGCAAAAAAATCGATAAAAATCGATAAAATCGATATCGATCGATGACGAAAAGTAGCCTATGACACCCGCCGGAACCCGAAGTGTATGTGCGCCAAGTTTGGTCCGGATCGGTTCAGAAATGGGATCTTCTATTCGGAACATACGTACACACAGACATACAGACAGACATACAGACAGACATACAAACAGACATTCAGCTTTATATATAAGATTTGATCTGATTTTGGGATACGGAAGGCAACATTCGAATATACAAATGCATAGAGTGCGCAACTTTAGTAACTTGATGGAACGCTCTATTCCAGAATGCGCTTACGATGGCTAATGAACAATTTTACCAAGTTGCTCGTGACTGAATCAAACATAGGGCCTAAGTATGGTTGATGTGGGAAGGCGAATTTGAAAAGAAGGAGTAAGATTTTCTTACCCAAAAATGTGAAAGTTCAATGACAGTTTCTTCATAATGTGTCTTTTTTCAATGCTGTATCATAAGATGCTTAAGAGTATCGTAAATTCTCAGTAATTTGAAAAAAATTACAGAGATCACTCGAATGCTTCTTAAGCACATTTCACATATCTTCTGTTCTTTTTTTCTCCCTGTTGTCATGGATAACGTCTTACAAACATTTTTGGCAAAAGACGGCGAAAAACAATGAGAATATAAACGAGATCCAAAAAACTATTCTATCACTTCAGTCGGATCTCATTACTTTTTTTTCGGGGAGAGAAAATGCGCACCATTAAAGTGCACCTTTCGATACAATTTTCCTCCTATCATTCAACTGGCTCTCCAGTTATTCGAATATCACTCAAGGAATTTGCTTTTAATCGATAACAGTTTGAGATCCCACCCGAGTCGAATCACATTTTAGATTGATTTGAGAGTACCATCATAATAGGAGTCGCTTAGCGGGCGGTGAAATATTAGGTCGATGCAGAAGTCCTCTAGTTTTCTTGAAAAACCCGAAAGTCCCGTGCAGTAGAGATAAGCAAACACCTCAGGGTGTATCCGATGCAGAATTTCTTCCTCTTTCCACCTGTTCTATCCTCAACTTTGTTGAGAGAATGTCGAGATAATCGTTGAAAACCACAACCCTTAGTTTTCGTCTGTTCAACTTCCGCTAATTTTCAAAGTTTTCACCTGAGGATCTTGAGTAAGTAAAGTTTTATATTTAACCTAATTTCGTGAAACACAAAATGGCAAACAGTCCAGATAGTTCGATGCTGATTTTTCTCCTCTTTTAAGATTGTCTTTTCTTGGCAAGACACGCGAAATTTGCGTGAAAAATCGCAGTTTCAGGAGTCGCACTGATGTACCGCAACTTTCAAAATGTTCATATTCTAAAGAATTCGCTCATTTGGTTCACAAGGCTAGTATAACAATCGATTGTTGAAGCCTCAAAAGAAATCGGCGGGAGGTCTCACGAAATTGCAAAAACGAATCCCCTTTGACTTTACAATAAAAGTACACATCCGCTATGAGATATTGGAATAGAAAAAACATGAAAAAGGAACGGAACAAAGCAGAACATAAGAGAACGAAGAAGAAGCATCGAACAAATGCGGTGATATTCGCGTTTCACGGGTTGGCAGCATAATGTATCCATCGCGCAGCACTAAGCGCCTAGAGCAGCGCTGCCGCCGCCATTCATAGTTTTCGGCTGTAACTAAGCGGAGAGGAGTGAGTTCAAGGCGGTTTAGGAACCATTTTGTGGAATTCGGGATGGTAGGCTAGGTAGGCTCGGGGCGAGTACGAGATGCATGCAAGGTGGAGACGCAGAGTCGCTGTGGGACCCTGCACTCATGACTGTGTGCGCTATGCGTACTCTGGCCTTGCAGTTCGAAATTGATCTGTGGGCGGCGTTCGGGCGTACCGTAAGATTCGGGCCATTTGGGGGGGGGGGGGGGATCTGTAGGCTTCGTAGACCCCCTTTCGCACTCAAACTTCTGTCGTCGCTCAGTTAGGGGGTCTACTATTACATTAATACCAGAGCCAGGTGCCCCCTTTTTAGTGGGACGCTGCCTTTGAACCTAGTATTGAGGAATGCTGAGACTAACAAAAAGGATGGTGCGCAAAAGGGATTTGCGAGTTTCTTTTTTTGTGATTGCTGCGGAGGATGCCATCCAATCTAAATTTTATCTATAGAAATCTGCTTATGTTCTGTAAAGTCTGAACGTTGGTTGAAATTGAAAAAATACGCAAAGCGATTGATACTGTGAACTTACCTTTGTGAACACAATGAGACTTGGAGTTTCCTCAGCCATCTCGCTCAACTGTAACTGAAAAATTACGTTCAATCTTTTCTTTTTGGTTGTCGATACATCTACAGATATAATATCTATGGGGTTTATTAGAAATTTTTTGGAGCACATTGTTTACAAAAAATCAATCTTCTAATAAACGAGTAAAGCTTTGCTCCACACATTATATTTGTTGAGGCAAAGAAGCAATCGAGGAAGCGCATGCTATCTTGAAAAACAATAAAAAAAGAAAATGAACATTGCGAAGGACAATGGTCAAATTCGTACCTCCCTCACAAGCATCACAACCAAAGCTGTTTCAGCGACTATGATAACGCGTCCCGACTCGACGACGTTCTTGATTTGTTCTTGACGTTTCTTTGGATCTTCTTCAATTTGGACAAAATCCATGGGGACTGGTAGCCTGCCAAATACTTCTTGCACACTTTCCATGTTTCCTGCAGATGATCGTACAGAATTTGTGTCTGTGGCGCACTCCACATATTTCTTCCCTGTTTAGTTAGGTAAAATAAACACAAGGACTTTAGTGGAAATTTAGTTGAACTTTAAATATTGGCTGTCTTCGCGTAGTTTTTATGTTTTCAAATTTTAAACCGTTTCTGTCACCTATTCTAAGTCATGTAGTTTTGTTAATCTTCTAACACTTCTCTATGTAAAGTCATCGGTTCTTTGTATGCTCCATTCAAAAAGTTGCAATTCCAAAAAGTTCACTGAAGCGCACTCACACACATTTTGGGGCGTGGAGGATAATTTTCGCTTCGATTGATATTTTGTTGCTTCAGCAAACCGAGAGGTGGGGTGCCTGGTAAAGGGGAGGGGTGAAGAGCAAGAGCATGCTGATTACTAATAGAAAACCATTCTCGGATTTGTCGTGCCATAACTAATACCATCAATACTTTTCATTAGAAAGCAAAGCAGAGTATCCTTACCAGTACCAAATAACACATTTGCATTCAGCAAGATAGCACAAAAAACTGCTCTTGCCGCTTTTGCCATAAGCTCATAAATAGTTCATTCATGCAACTTAAAGGCAGTGTCCAGGCTACGTCTAACCCCCTGCGATTAGCCTCGATACTGAATGTAGGCTGCACGAGGGGGGCATCTGCGTTGCATCTGCGGTCCGATATCCTCTAATGTTGTCTCTGAATGGAGATAACAGGCCTGGAGCAGCCAAAGTGCTACCACCCACCCAGATCCTATCAGACTCCGCCCACCCATGTACTGAAAGTTCGCGCCCTCAAGACAGGTCCTCAAAAATCGGGTTTTTGGGATGTTTTGGACTATTTCAACTTCATAACTGTAATCAGGGCCACGGAAAGACCCCTAATGGCAAAAACATGGGAGACAAAATTTTGAGTGGAGGCTCCGTTTAACCCTTTCGTACCTGACTTTTTCTCCGTTGTGAAGAAATTTTTTTTGTCATTGATTTTTCCGTATAGGCACATAAATAACACCTCAGTCAAGTTTGGAAAGTTTTCGACCATACAGTAAGAAATTACAAAATGGTGGCATGCCACCAACAGGCTTTAGTGGAACAGCTTTTATTACGTCTTTTGAATTACAATGGAATGTTCCGAAGCAATCTCGATGTTTCGTCACAAAGATGAAGCTTACACTTATTACACTGAATTCGAAAAACGTCCTTTACAGGATTCTTTTATCGTTGTTCGTTACCATCTTCATGTATCGCCCAGTGTCCGACGCCGTCATAGCTACCTTCACTCAGAGATCTCAATCTGGGGCTTCACCGTTTTGTTGGAACGGTAGTAGGTGCATCCATGATATTCGAAGAATTAGACACCGTATTCCTTGTTTTGGCTCATTTGCGATGCCAGAGAACTTTCCTTTTTTCATTTTCCTGCTCTTTTCGTTGCTTTCTCTAATGTCTCCGAACTCCTCGGCAACATCATCTTCGCCAATGATGCGGCCGCAGCTTCTCTCAAGGTAAATTGTTGAGATATGCCAGCTAGATTCTTGTCGAAGCTCATTGGCGGTCCTCTTGTAAATGAAAAACCTTCCATTAAAGTTCCACCAAAGCCCACTGGTGGCAATTGCGTACAGCAATTCTGAAGGTGATGGCAAAGAGTCAACACATGTGGACTCACAAAAAACTGCCAATTATTTTTTTAAAAACTTCATACTCAATGATGACAATGGAAATGTGAATAAAAACACAATGTTCTAGAAAAAAATTGGCACTAACCTATCGGATTTCAAAGTCGAGCGCGACCCAGTGTTGCTTCGCACGCAATTGCTTCTGATACTAAGCGCAGAACGAACAAAAATGCGATTGGACGCGCAGATAGAAAGCAATAGGCCATCTCAAGCTGCTATAACTAGGAGTGCTAGAGACATGCTGTCGCGATGTTACAGTCTTTCAAACTTAGCGGTGGCAATTGCCACCGCCAGGTCCCAAAGGAAAGCAGGTTTTTCGTAATCACCAGATCAAATTGCTCTCAAGAGTGCTTCAATGCACTCTTAAAATCATAATCTACCTCAACTCCGGTCTTTCTTGCCTACAGAAGGCGTCATTCCGAATTATGATCAATATTGCTAAAAAAAAGATTTCACCTTTTTAGCTTACTCTATGCTCTAAATTCCTCTCCATCGTGCTTTCAAGTGGGAAGAGTTCCACTGAAAATCGCTGCCAAAACTCCTTCCACAGCGTTTATTACTTCACGACAATTCAGAGACTACAAAGCTAAGAAGGAAACCTTTAGTCAAAGCGGCCTTTTCACATAAAACTCATATCACTTTGTAGAACACTAGACGATGATTCCAAATCTAGCTTCCTCTTCTGCGGAACGACTCTGCGAGAAAAAATCTAAACGTTTGAAATTCCGATCTGTTATGCAATAGATGGCACAAAATTAGCAAAAGGCTGCACTAAAACAGTTGAAACTAGGTATGTGGGCTAGGTATATTATACTAGAAAGGAACGTGGCTTGAGGGAACCGCAAAGGTTGTACACCCGCTATTTTTATGTCACTGAAACTATACCGCTTTAGACTTCCAAACACTCATAACTTCCTTCGGAGAACTATTTCGCAGAAAAAAAAGACAGATTTGGGATCACCGTTTAATGCTTCACATACTGATGCAGGTTTTACGTGGAAAGGCCACTTCGATCAAGAAAAGTTTCCTTCTAGGCAGAGGCGAAGCAGCCTCAAACGTCTAACATAGAATCTATTAGGCTGTCAACAAAATGATGTCTTTTTTCTCGGGTTTTTTCGAGTAAAATTGATTTCACTCGAGAACTAGAGCATATCCGTGGCCAAAATTTTATGGTTAAAGTTACGAAGCTTTGTAGTATACAAATACATATGTGGGAGGGGTCCAGTACTACTGGGGGCGGGCGGAGTCTGCCATTTTCCATTTTTCAATTTTTCTTGCTTTTTAAGCATGAAAAAAATATAGCAAGTGTACCTATGATAAGTTTATATGTCTTTTATAGGCAGGAACAACTGAAAGGTTTGCAGGATCTTCTAGGGCCAAAGTCCAACTACTGGCATCACGAGTTGCTCGTATTTTTTGGATTTGAACTTTTCCGTTAACAACAAGTTCCGCCAATGTTCGGATATCAGCTTTTAGAGCTTCCTTTGCTCTGTCGAACGTTACCCTTCAAATATTTTTTGGATTTGTCTTATGGCAATGCTATGAAAAACGACATTATTCTTGACAAACTAATACAATGTTTTTGAAGACATATCTAAAAAACCCATTCTAAGACAAAGTAAATGGTGAGACAATCCTTCACTGTGTTTGGTCTTGTGCCTAACTCAGTCAACTTGCCTTTGGAGTCCACAACGTTCTTTTTATGAGATGGATCGCAATTCAGTACATGTTTTTAACAATTACTAGAAATTTGATTCTTTCCTGCAAAATTGTTGCAAAAATCATTTGTGCAGAAAGCATACTACCCCTATAAACAAAATTCAAAAATGGTGTTATTCTCGAGTTTGTCAGGAAAAACTAATCACTTGAAGTTCGAAGATGAAGTCTGAAAAGTTCTAAATCACCAAAAATCAAGAAATTCGTTCCATCCACAATTTCTGCGCACCGTCAACATGCTCACGGACATACATCTTTCATCATATATTCTTATGCGCGTCGCTGTAATTTCCCGTTGAATAGACATGAAAAAATGGATTTTTCATGCTTTTGCCGAACGTAAGTGAAGGTATACTACTTAACTTGAGAAGTACAGCCGTAGATTTTCAGCTTTCTACAAGAGTCACTTCTCGAGAAATATTGAAATTGAATTCTTTTCTACCATTTGAATTAAATTCGATACCTCTCGAGAACTAACTCTTGTAGAAAAAAAAATTTGCGGTTCTTCTCATGCTAAGTAGTAGTTAATTAGGATAATTGTCGTATTGATGAAGCTGTTCTATACTGTATGACACCACAAATTGGTTCGATGTCATTACTGTTGGTGAATTTACAAAAGCCGCGCTGGACTACTGCTGGAATTTTCGTGAACCCTCCTGCTGTTTCGTCCATGTCAGTTAGAGGAACGTTTTGATTTAGACTTATCTCGATCTAATCTCCAAGTCTTATAAGCAAGCAAAAGCAAACATCTTCTATCTAAAAAATTTGAAAAACGAATTTGAAGGACAACTTCATTCGCAATTTGTACATATTGAGATTTTACCGTCATTACAGTACAGCGGTATTCGTGTGCAATGGCAACCTGATGTGAAACTTCAAAAACAAACACCACATAGCAGGCTTAATTCTCTTCACATTGCCACAATATGAGGTTCTGGAGGTGAGAAAAAGTAGGAGGGAATTTTCTAGGTAAGCGCACAACGACGGGTGGGAGGGGAGAGGGTCGTTTTCGGGGGGCATGTGTTTTAAACCAGGTTTAACCCTAATGGTTGTTTCGTCCAGTCTTCACAGTTTCTTGTCATTGTTTGTAATTATTCGATTACGGTTTACATTGCGCAAGTCTTATGTTTTTCATTTTCGGTCATTCAGATGGTCTGCTCTCAATTTGTTCATGTAGTTGAAAAAATGCGCCGTGACCTCCATCGAACACTGATTCTAAGTATTAATCATAGAACATACAAACAGAAGAGATACGAACCGTACGCACGCTCGAACAAAACTGTCGTATTGGGCAAGATGTCTAGACTCGGCAGGATATCCAAAATGGCATTATTGAACACAGTAAGCGTAGGAACCAAAAAAATCTGATTCTTGGAAGCTTTGCCTGCAATGGGGTATTCAGCAGCTTGAATTTCCATTCAATTGAGACTGATAAGCCTAGAGATAATTAAAACTTCACAAACATAAATTTTCTGGACAAACCAATAATCTGGTCATCTATTGACGTCCAGCTGCTCCTAATGATATGGACTGTTGGTATGCCAGCTTCCTGTGATGATCTTATCACTAGTTGACGACCTTCTTCAGATTTACAAATACTGATCAGGAGATCGGCCTTACTGATAGACTTAGAAACTAAAAAATATCTGACTCATATCGTTGTATAAAAGATTCAAATTTAATCTTGGAATAAATTTTAATTTGATGGTTGCTCGAGATAAGTGTGACTCTCAGTGTTCCGACTACACAAAATTTGAGGAACAACTGATGTAGTGCATCCCAAAGTTGAGAAAATGCTTACATTTGTTTGAAGGTGTTCCATTCATGACAAATATGTGCTCGACAATAACATCATCTACTTTCAGTTTATAAGAGTGATACATCCGAGACATATTCAGATGCTGAAGGATGACGGGGGCTTCCAAATCGTCTTCTTCAGCAATGTAAGCTGTGAAAGTTAAAGATAAAGACAAACAAGCTGCATCTGTACCTGCTCACTCACCTATAATTTCGCTTGTAACGGTTGAATTGAACATAAGGCAAATGATGAAATCTACAATAGTCAAAAGCATGCTTGGCCACCCAAAGACTCGACCGTGAAGAACCAGCTACTATACATTTACTGACACCAAGCTGCTACGAACGCTAGTTGAAATTTACCATAGGCATATATAAGTAAGTTTGTGTCGCATTTCTATATGGTGTAACTCGTGTGCCACCAAAAAAAACCGCTAAACAAACAGTGCCTATATACCATTTAGCACGTAATAACCAAATAGACAACTTGTTCTTCAAAATAGTGAAGAATAGCAATAGAAATTATGCAGGTAATAAATTTAAAGGAAGGTATTATCTCCAAATCATAATATAGTCTAGCGTCGAAAAATCAGAACCATGCACTTTCAAGTTTATTGACAAGATTTGATAGCGCAGCACTTACTGCACTGTTACTTTTGCAGTGTAGGATGATTAGCAAGTTCTGGAATAACTATTTGAAACGAAGTCTTTGTGCACAAAGAAAACTGCTGTAGACTGTGTGCAGTAAGCTTCCACGTGCACATAGCAGTGAATGGCACTTGAAAGCAACGGAAGACAAGGAAAAGGCAAAACCAAAAAGTTGCGTTTCCATAATTTTAGTTTATTTTATTTTTTCGAACTAAAAACAAAGTTCCGCGCACAATTTCACAGCCACAAGAATAACATCCAGGGCTCGGCACGAGCTGGCATTAGGCCAATTTCAAAATGAAGTCCCCTTTGATCTTGAAAGTCCCCTGCGAAACCCCTTTGGCCCTAAACCTTAAACGCAAAAAACCCTAAGAAAGATAAGACGAAACGTCGCCTTAAAAAACAAAAAAAACTGCGAGATTCCGTTTATCTGAAACGAAACAAATACAACAATATGAAAAACAAAACAAAATTAAACATTACAAGAATAATAGAACGACAAATAATGAATTTGACCGAGTGAAATGACATCGACAGAATTCGCGCTGCATTTGCTTGAGGCGCGCTTTGTGACTGGAGCAGATTACTCGACTGCGCGGCAGACCAAGATTTTTTTCAGATGGTTATAAAACGCCTGAAAAAAAACATTATGGAATTGTTTTTTTTCTGTATGTTAAATTTTACAGTGTAGATACAACTTATGTAAAAAGGTATGGAAAATTATGTGAGCAAAGGATGGTGCCGGCTCACCATGCCAGCTAATTTAGAAAAAAGTTCAGCACAGCTTTCATTCACATGTTTCATAATTTTTTGGGCCCATGGTTCGGGTCCCCCAATGCGCATGACACACCAAATTTGGTGTCTATTATTGCATGTTGTTTGTAAGCAAGGCCGCGCTGTGTTAGCACCCGCATGTCGGCGGCATACCGACGGCATGCCGTTGCATGCGAGCGGCATTCTAGCGAACAGTGGCATGCTAACGCAAAAACCATATCTCTTTCGCTTTCCGCCCCCAAAAAAGACATCCAGCTTGACCCGGTGCCAGCTGTCCGAGCCCTGATAACACTTTCAATCAACCTCTTTTTAGGTTAGGAATTCAAAAGTTCACGAAAGCTCCAGAAGGTTAATAAAAATCAGAAAGTGCGCTTGAATCTTGCGCGATAGCAGCCCACAAAAATGCTGATTTATTTTTGTGAAAGTGGTTTTGAACCTCGGCGATGTTGTCAGCACTGATAGTCGTGTCATAACAATTCGAATATTATATATAAAGCTGAATGTCTGTTTGTATGTATGTATGTCTGTATGTACGTATGTTCCGAATAGAAAATTCTATTTCTGAACCGTTCGGGACTAAACTTGGCACACATACACTTCGGGGCGGAGAGCGTGCCATAGGCTACTTTTCGTATCGATCGATATCGATTTTATCGATTTTTTGCAGAATTTGAGCTACAGGGCTGGGAGTTGGCAGAGGGGGGTAATCGAGCATGCTGATTACAAATATATTATTGACAGGCCCGGGCGGAGCCGGGTTCGCCAACTAGTGATATATAAGGCCTCGGATAGAGTTCACGCGATTTGATCGTCGCGACTCAATTGCAACGATTTTCATTCATTTTCATTTTACATTCAAAGATTTCGGGCTGGAAAAGTATCACAACCGAAATGCAAGCTGGTCGACATGCAATGAACTCGTAAAGGTTGTCTTGTCGCAATTGAATCGCAATCGCTTGAACTCTGCCCAAGGCCTGATGCTACATCGTTTGGTTGAAAACCCGCGAAGATTTCCGGTTACGGTCAAGCCCCTCGGCTCTGCTCTCTACTTTGCTCGTCTGCGCCTCCACATGTTGCATCCTCGCTCTCGTAAACGGGACATAAGATATCCCTTTTCGGTATTTCTCTTCGTTATTCCAGATCCAATTCCAGCATACTATATTATACAGTCTGTATATAAAACTGTAGACTTGATTTTATTTTCACGCTGACAAGCTCGCCACCCTGTTTTGTTAATTTTGAAAGATTTAGTAAAGACCTTACCTTCGAAATTCCTTCATTTGCCTTCAATTGAGCTCTTTTAAAGCGCCTTTTTTCGTGCACTCAATACCTGCTTTTTCACAATATAGACAACGTCGCCAAGCTACTCCTTCAGCTTTGATTAGATATTTGATAGAAAGCTGCGATCAGTGCTTTTGTCCTTTTATCCTTATTGGAGTGCTTGAGCAATTATTTCTTGTACGCCCGAAAGATCTTGCACAGAACGGTGAGCAGAACAAAGCTGACATTGCCGCCAGAATAAAAACTAGGAAACGGAGATAAAAATTCAAAGGACACATGAAAATTTAGATTGGCTTTGTTGTTTTGATTTAGTAAAGAAAACAAGTTTTTTCTCCTAGTTTATCTCCTTCTTGATAATCACCATTTCGAAAAGTGGTGGTTGAAACCATTACAAAGAAGGAGTTAGCTTTTTCACTTTTAAACATTAGCAACAACAGTACAACGACATAAGGGCTTGATGTAACCAAAGCACAATTTTTCAATTGTTTCTTCAGCGCTGGTTCCCAAACATATCAATGTCGCACGAAGAATCCAAGAAAGTGATATCATATTACACTTTAGTATCTTTCGGGTTTTGTTTCTAGTCATGATTATCCTCAAAATGCATCAGTCTGAGCTTGATTTGAATATGAGAGAAAAGATCAAACAGGCTCTTAATTTTAGGAACTTGTCGCTCTTTACGAAAAAACTTTTACTGATTTGAAGCACTATAAACCGCAAGACACTAAACCAGTTGCTGATAAGTGTTGCAGTCCGGCGGATGCTAGTATGTAATCAAAGGCAGGGGCGAGGGGAATTAAAACTAATGAAAAAATGAAGAAGATCACAAGATTTGCTACATTTTATATAAAACTGAAGTCAAAGCTTGACTTTTTATTATCTAGCAAGAATAACAAAAGTTTCGCAAAAAGAGATTTAAAAAAGGTTATTGAATATTGTTGAAGACGACAAGACCACAAAGTTGGATGAGTGCAAATAAAGGAAGGAGAAAAAAATTGTCTGATATTTGAGTCGCTCGTCATTTTCTCAGTTTAGTAAACTTGAAGGCGGACAAAAAGCGAACGAAATATAACCCAGTGTTTGCGCTTTCTGTGACACTCAAAGTACACCAAAATACTAAAAAAATTGCATGAGTCAACTGTAATTTACACTTAATCACCTTTTGCAGTCATTCAGCGGTAAGTGTGCAGCCTCGCTTTTCAGCTAGACATGTTTTCATTTATTGTATGTCCCATCATTTGCCTTGTACTGGCCTTGACAGCTGCGGGAGACGTCATAAGTAAGTAGCAGGTGCAGTTACAATCAAATTGTTTTTATCTATGATATTCACAGCCTACATTGCTGAGGAAAAATAATCCCAAATGTACCACTCTCACAAACTCACAGTGAAAGATGCTGTTACGGACACTGTCATCATAAATGCAACATCATCAGGCGATTGTGAACAAATCTTCAGTTCTATGATTGAGCTATATGAGCAATCTTTTCAAATGTGTAACCCCTTTAGCCACAAAGACGCTGTTATGACGACGGTTCCAAAACAATTTTTTTGCAAAGGTCAGTTCAATACTCTATCTCACTTAAATTTAATGACCGATTCAAATTCGTTCATGTCGTCAATAATACAAACCGCGCTCATACGCGTCTAATACCACTTTGTTTGTTAATGACAGAAAAAATAGGTACAGACCGTACGCATGATCGACAACACGTTCGTGTTAGGTAGGATGTTGAGACGTGGCAGAATATCCAGAATGGCGTTATTGAATACAGTAATAGCAACAATGACTGCAGCTCATGTTCAATCAGACCAACTGACTTTCACTAAGTTTGAGAAACTGTAAAAAAAAACTCACAAGGGAAGGAAGGTGGGTCGAAGTGGCCTTTTAGAATGAGGTGGGTATCACCTTGTGGGCTTCGAACGCTGATTTAAAATCTGCCTTCCTAATCTGCGGCGCAATTTTGAGCGAGGAGTTTTGAGGGTTTTAGGGGGGCGGAAGTTGACACAGGTACAATCACACCATTGTGTGACGTCTGGTGTATGGTTAGTGTGGTGGTCTCGCAGGCAGAGACTCCCAGGTTCGAATCTCCTGTTGTGGTTTTCGTTTTGCTGGTCTACAAAAAATTTGTATGAGCATGGGCAGCGTCCATACACCACCCCCTGCTTCTTTTATCAGAATCTCGAGGCAACAACTGCTCTCTCTCTGAAGGTCTTTGCAAGTGAATTGAAGTGGAGGTAAAAATGTCAAAAGAATCAGTTTGTCACGTAACACCTCGGTGAACGTAAGAGGTCACAATGTTCTCAACATATTCGGCATGTTTAGCTTATTCCTGATACGCCAGCGGCTACCTTGATGCACATAGATTTTGAAACGCCTGCACAGTACTGCTTCCCTTCCAATTTGACAGGAGACTGTGAGCATTCGGATTGTTCAGAAATAGTCTTCATTCGTTGCTCTCATTGTGAGAAAAGGCCTATGTTTTGCACATTTTGTCCTCTCCTTTCATCAGTGCACATAGACGTTTGAAAACTTAGAGTAATAAAAATTTTTGAAGAAATTTGCAGTTAAAA